ACTATCATCACCATAATTAACTTTACTCTAGGTATAGTTAAATATCTTGGAGTATATGATTGGTGTTCTTTCATGATATAGGGTCTCTTAGCTCGATTAAGTATACTCTCGAAGTCACAAAGATTTCTATGTGATCATTGAGTGACATAGATCAACATATTTTTTTAATGAACTGATTCATCCAATCATATTAGATTTAAACTTCTAAAGTAGCGTATTCTTATTTTGTAGTATATTGTGTCATTTTGTTTTGCTTGGACCTCATTCCAAATAAACTTAATATCCATCCCTCAATGAAGTCATGATCCAATTATAAATCATAATTATATGCATTTGTTTAGAACTAGAATCTTATGTAACTCTTTACATGAAGATTTTGTTCTAAACTATATTTCTCATATACGTTCTCTTAGTTCCTCCAAAGTACTCTTAGAACGTATCTGTAGTCATCTGGCGACTTAAACATGCATTTAATTGGTATATTATGATATGCTCATAACATGCTCATATACCAAGTCTTATGCATAATATGGAATAAATGATGGATCCACTTTCCAATTAAATCAAATATAAATCATTTCAACTAGTTCAAACCTATGAACTAGGTCTTTTTTAGGTTGGCTCAAACTTAGTGCCATGTGACAATGCTAAGGTTCCTCCAAAGGAATCTTCTATCTTGATCTCTTTCAAGACATTGTCAATATATGCATAAGTATATAAAACTTTTAACATTCATTTTATCTATCTCTATAGATTTTACATTCCAAAAATGTATCTTGTCCTTCCTCAATCTTTCATTTTAGAAATATATTTCGAGTCAAGGTGAAAAAGTCTGGCATGGTAGAATGTAATTTCTTATGTTTAAGTGTGTCTCATTCATATAAGATTAGGTATGTCACTATACTCCCACTAGTTCTTAGTAAACACACATGTTCTATTTATTTTGATATAAAAAACATACATTGTGGTTTTCTGTTAAAATGATGATTGAAACATTGAGACGTTTGCATTATATCCATAAGTGGATCTCAATATTTACACATTTTGTTAGGATAACATGGATTAAGAAAACCTCTAGACTAATCTATATAGATATCTTCTAGTAGATATCTATTAAGAAAAACGGTCTTTCTTGAAATCTATTTGCTATATTTCATATTGAGAATATGAATTTATAGTAAACAATGTTCTTGTTGATTTAGTCATAGCTACTTGTTAATAAGGTTTGATCATAGTCAATGTCATGAGTATGATACGGACCATAGTGAATGACATGAGAAGCCTGCTTTCTTCTAACTCAACTATCAAGGGAATAAGAGAACTTATTCTTGGTGGTTTTGTACATAATAATCTAAGCCACATTTAGAGTATTATATACAATTTAGAGTATTATATACAAATATGTATTTAATATATTTTGGGTTTAAAAGCTTTAGTCTAATATAGGCTTTAAATCCATACAAAATTTAAGTAAGATAGGGATGGAGCCTTTCCATACACAATCTTATGAAGAAAATGTTATGTCTACTGGTTAGTTGGTATTTTTACTCAAGGTACAATTGATAGTGCTCTAGGTGTTATCCCAAGGTAGTAAAAGGAAGACATTTCTACCGATTAGAAAGTAAATCATACTAAGTAAGATTTAATTCATCCTTTATTATCATTAAAGCCTTAGATAGTTGTCACCGGTTTGTATTTCAACTTTATATTTGAAAACTTAAACAAAGGTTTCAAAATTATGTTTACCATGTAAAATATAATTTATAACTGCTATAGTTGTGAATAAAGTTGATTTGGTATCTTAAGGTAAATGTTAGACATTCATTAAAAAGGAAGTCATACACCGTAATGTATAGTTCCTTAATAACTATCTTCTCTACTACTTAGTGAAAATATCATTAGGAATCTTTTATAAATAGGATTTACATATGTCAAATAAACGACATTATTTGCCTTCGAGGATCCCTTTTTTGAAGTTAGAATATGTGAATGCCATTTATATAATAAAGATAACAATGTCAAAGATGAGTTTAATTTAAAACAAGTTTAAGTTGGTGGTTATCTAGGCCAACAAAATTAATAACCTTAAATATTTTACACAAAAATAGTGTATAGTGGTAAAGGGATCGTATCCACGGAGATTGGTCCGGTTTTATAATTCTATGAAAAATCTCTTTGTAATAGTACTTGTAAAATGACAATAAAAGTAAAAACGAGGGGTTTTGATCTTTTGAAACACTTGAAATAAATTAGGATTAAACTAAGATTTAAATATACAATTTCAACAAAAACAAGATTTTGATGTAAAATCAATAAGAGAAAGATGGTTGACTTGAGGTTTCCTCACTTTGAATTTTTGATAAACATATCATTAGAATCCAATAGTGCAATACTAGTTTTAAATCTTTAATTTGGCTATAGTCACAACTAGAAAAATAGCCTTTTACGACGCGCAATTAATGACACACACGGATAAAGGGCGCGCATTTGTGCGTGCCCTAAAAATTAATGTCAGTTTTCCAAAATTTGAAGGATAGAAGACACCCATTTTTGGCGTGCCCTTAAATTTGTGTTAGAAAAGAAATACGGAGGGCACCTATCAAAAACTGTGCGTCGTGTAACTGTGTCGCTTTATATTTTTTTAGGAAACACGCGTTTTTAGGGGGAAAAATGAAATCCAAAAAATTAACCCCGCCTATTCATCCCAAAAATTGCCCGCCTCTTCGAATTAGGGCCTTCATCTTCATCCACAACTTCCTCAATTCCTCGATCCATAACCTCCACCAAAAACCTAGTTCTTGGTTCCAACAAACTCGTACACTCTTAATTCGACCCTAATGAGCTGAGGATTTAGGGTTCTTACCTCCCAGTTATCAATTTGAGCCGATGATTTAGGGTTCCTAAATCCGACCCTAATTTTTTCTATCACACTCTCGTATTTCCATCTCATCCCTCTCGCCTGGATTTGCGCCTGGATTTGTTAGGGCTTGTTTCATCCATTCATTGCCTCCCTACCACAAGCGATCTTATAAATCTGCCCAATCGACCTCTTCAATCATCTTTTTATATCTTCATATGGTAAGAGCTTCAAGATTTATCTCTTTCCCAATTAGTGAGTTCTTTTGTTTTTACTTGATTGCTGAGTTTGTTCTTGCTCGATCTTCACATGTTTCTTGGAATTTTCCTGTCAATCGCTTTATTTGCCGTGAAGATACAAGCTCTTCAGATACTCTGGTCAAAGACATCACCGGCTCCCCTCCCGTCGCTGCGGTCGGTCTTCCTTCTCCTCGCCGCCGTTGCCACTGCTTCTTCCACCCTCGCCGGCGTCAGACCTTCTTTCTCCTTGCGAACATCCTTTTCTTCCTTCCCGTCGCTGGCATCCTGAACTTGTTTGGTAAGAGTTTTATGTTAGGGTTCAATTCATAATAGCCTTGCTGGAAATCGGGAAATGAAACTGCTGGCAGAAGCTAATAAACCAGGAAGCCTTATCAACAACTACGTGACTCAGTTAAGTTGTATGTTGTCAAGCAAAGCAACAAATCTTGTGAGCCTCCAAGCCCGCCTCAGCAGGTTCCATCATCACCTCAAGGAGATTCTCAGCCATAAGAGGTTACCTCGTTAACACCCACACCCTACTCCAATTTAGCTTGTAATCTCTCTCTCTCTCTCTCTTGTATGTGCAAAAAAGATGTAAATATCCTCAATCATCATCATCTTGATCATTTTTATTGTAGGAATCGAACGAGAGTGGACTGTGATGTGAGTGTGGAGATTTGATTTCTTTTGGTTTTGGTTTTTGTTGGTTAAGTTTTGATTTGAATGAATGGTGTTTTTGTGAAGAAGTGGAAATAAACAAAGAAAAAACACAAGGTATTGCTTGTTGCTCTGCAGGTTTGGTTTTTACTTTTTGTATATGTAATGCTTAATTACACCTTCGTACACCACGAAACTTATTATAATTATTATTTCATATTATGAATGGTGTTGCACATATAGAATACATTCCACTATTGACCAGTCAATTAGGTGTAGCCTTTTTTGATGATAAACTTAGTTCTCTTTGAATGCAATGGTTACAAGACAATGTTAGTTAAAAAAATATGGATTTGAGTAAATTACATTTTTGTTTTTGACAAGGTTAGGTACGTACTGCTCCTATAGTTGTATACACTTCCAGGAAAGGCTCATCTGCAGCTGGGCTTACTGCTTCTGTCATTTGTGATAACAACACTGTAACTTTCTTATCTTTTTACTTTTTTTATACAAATATTCTACAACACCCTTCCATATTAGGGCTGCCATACATGAAGCCATGGAACAACAAACAATATCCATAACCAAAGCAGGAATAACAACAATTCTGAATTCCAGGACTTCTGTATTAGCTGCAACAAACCCTCCATCAGGTCGTTATGATGATCTCAAAACTGCACAAGATAACATTGACTTACAGACTACAATTCTTTCAAGATTTGACCTCATCTTCATTGTCGAAGATATAAACATGTTCAGCCAAGACAAGGTATTTTTTATATATATTTATTTAATTATGTTGTTTATTACCCAATATATATATATATATATATATATATATATATATATATATATATATATATATATATATATAATTATCCATATTGCTTCTATATATATATATATATATATATATATATATATATATATATATATATATATATATATATGTTTTTATTACCCTAAATATATATAATTATTTAATTATGTTGTAGATGGTAGAGAACTTGTACAGATTCTTCTTGTTGTTAGAGCTGAAGCTACTGCTCAAGACACGCAACATGGAGGTACAACTCTACATACTGCTGCTATGACTAATGATTTGGAGTTAGTTTAAGTAAGTTTATTTATTTATTTATTTATTTATTCTTCCATCAATTTCCTCAAGTGTGTTGACATTTTATGTACAGAAAGGCATGAATGAGTTGAATTGGTTGGACCATTAACTGCTGTTATGTTTGAACAGA